CTTTCACCGGTTGCGTAAGACCCGGCACTCACCTACCCCGGCCTTCCCCCACCCCCGTCCTCCGGTCCGTTCCAGATGCCGGCTATGAGTTCGACATCTGCTTCACCTCGGTGCAGAAACGTGCCATCCGTACTCTCTGGACCGTGCTGGATGCCATCGATCAGATGTGGTTGCCCGTTATCCGAACCTGGCGCCTGAACGAGAGGCACTATGGGGCTCTCACAGGCCTGAACAAGGCTGAGACGGCGGCGAAGCACGGGGAAGCGCAGGTGAAGATCTGGAGGCGCTCGTACGACATCCCTCCGCCTCCCATGCAGTCCGATCACCCCTTCTACAGCACCATCGCAAAGGTAAGACACGCTGCTCTTTGTGTGCCTTGCAGGGAGGATCTTAAAAGTCACCTGCAGTGTGATCTGGTTTCGTCTACAAATCTCCCCTATTTGTGCTGCAGTAGCTGGGGCTGCGGTGCTGGTTGGCTTTGGGCTGAGTATGTCCTGCTTCCTCCCTGGGGATTGAATCCCTGGGCGCTGCACAGACAGACTCAAAGCAGAGGTGATGTACTCTGTATATCATTAGTGCTGTGATCCATTCATGGACGTTTGATTTGGTCGCCTTGCCCAGAATGAGTAACGTGACTTCCCCCAGAGCAGCCCACGACCCTTGCTGTGGCTCATTGCAACATCAAACTTCAAAGCCACTTTGTTACTCCAAGACTGGTTTAGCTTACATGTAGTGGGTCCTGAAGTGAAGAATCTGGGGGAGGGATGAAAGCCTTACCACCACCTCCCCACCCTGGGTCGGGGGACACTGGGCTGCTGTGTGAGTGTGGCTGTTGTTGCAGGACCGTCGCTACGCCGACCTGACAGAGGACCAGCTGCCGACATGCGAGAGCTTGAAGGACACTATTGCCCGGGCTCTGCCTTTCTGGAATGAGGAGATTGTCCCACAGATCAAAGAGGGCAAGCGAGTCCTTATTGCTGCTCATGGCAATAGTCTGCGTGGGATTGTCAAGCACCTGGAAGGTAGGTCAGCCCTGCAGGGGCATCACCGGGATCTCCTGCTGGCACCACAGGCAGGGCCGTGTGTGACGGCACACCTGTGTCCACAGGCATGTCGGAAGAGGCCATCATGGAGCTGAACCTGCCCACTGGCATCCCTATCGTGTATGAGCTGGACAAGAACCTGAAGCCCGTGAAGCCCATGCAGTTCCTGGGGGATGAAGAGACCGTGCGCAAGGCCATGGAGGCCGTCGCTGCTCAGGGCAAGGTGAAGAAGTGAGGACAGGCAGCAGGCCAGCACGTAGTAGAGCCCCCTGCCATTTCCCACCCTTCTGTTCACACCCCCCACAGTCATAGAACTCGGAGCTGTGGAGCTGGAGCTGCTCCCCAGGATTAGGCCCGTTCCCTCAGACCAGGCTCCCCTCTGCAGACAGCCCAAGGGCAAGGGCTGTGCACACGGAGGTCTGGTGTGTGAAGGAGCTCTGGCTCTGCCAGGCAGCAACCACACACCTCTCCACAATGAATTCCCAGCCCTCGGACTCTATCTGCAGGGGGATGCGCAGAGCGACCTCTCGCCATGCCAGGCTCCCCCTCTGCTTTGCTTCCCTGGCAGCTCTCGTCACCCAGTTACTGTAGTTTTGTCACTTGATTTAGACCTTTCAGAAGCAGTGAGGCAAGTGCAGTGCAGGCAGTGACCAAGGTGGGTACCCCGTCCCCTGCAGGGGTGTGGCACAGACTGGATGCCACTGGAAGGGTTGTTTTGGTGCATGTGGTACAGCACCTGAGAGTGGTACTCGCAACTCTGGGCCCAGCTCTGCCAGCCCCTGCTTTAACTTATTGCCTTCAGACAAGGGAGAGGGAGGGAGCCTGTCTTGCCTGGAGATCTGTGTCCACCACATACTTCCTGCAGCTGACACCCATCCTAGTCCTGCTGGAGAAGCAGGTGCCGTTGTGTCCCATCTCACACGTGTTTGTGGCTGTGGCCTCCCCCTCTGCCAGCACCGAGCCTGGGCTTGCACGGGGTCAGTGTAATTGTCCGACCATAGCAGCTGTCTCGTTCCAGTTCAATAAAGGAGTTATGCGCAATAATGAGGTGTCTCTATCCCTGGGTCGTTGTGCTCTGGCTCTGCAAGGCTCCCAGCCCCATACTCTCAGCACATGCAGGGCAGCACTGGCTGCTGGGCACAGACATGAGGGTACGGGAGCTGTGCCAGGCTCGGGGAGTAAAGCACAGCTCTGCAATCCCTGCTGGGGCAGGGTGACGCCCTGCCGTGGTGATATTTAGACTGGGTGTGCCACACCTTTGGCCCTAGGGCAGGGCACAGGCGCATGTGTGGCCCGAGAAGATGTAGCACCCTGGGGCTGAGCACAGCCACAGCCTGCACCAGTTATTGTGTGCAGAGACAAGCTGTACTCCAGGCCAGACTCAATGTGAGGAAACGAACCCAGCAAGGAAGGTGCCTGGAGCCAGTTTGGCTCAGCCACACACCGGGGTTCTGCTGGCCTCACTGCAGCACAGCCACTGAGTCGCTCCACGTCCCCAGCAGGGAACACATGCTTCCTTCCAGCTGCAGTGCTGGGGCAGTTGTTTCCTCAATAGCTCTGCAGTGGGAACCAGAGCAGCAGGCAGCCCCTGCCACCCCTCTGGGCTGTAATGAGCAAGGCACAGGGCTCTCAAAAAAATATTTATTATCCAAAAGTAGAAAACCCATCCTGCCAGTGAGGGCCTGGTTGGGTTCCAGCCCCTTGGCACGTGTGGAGGAAGTTAGAGCCCAGGGGCCACTCTGGCCCCACAGGCCCCAGTCAGGCAGCGCCTTGCCCCGCAGAGGGTGCTAGGTCTGCAGGAACTGGGGCTGCACCCGGGCCACCTTACGGAACTCCTTGATGTGTGTCCGCGGGCACTGCATCTCGCACCAGCTGATGGGCACCATCTGCACCCCTGGGGACACCACATGTGAGGGGTTCCCCTCCTGAAACTGCCTTCCTCCATGTGGAGAGGGAAGGGGACACAGCAGCTGCCCTTCAGGCAGGATAAGGCAGAACTGTCCCTACCTGCCTCACTCCGTGCCACCACCACGCCCAGCTCATTCTCCGCTGTGCTCAGCAGGTAGTTGGACTGTGCATCCCCCAGGGAGATCTGGTTGGACAGGGGTTAAGGGAAAGACTTCCTTGAGGGGGCTTGAGCGAACCTGATGTCCCTACAGGCTTTCCTGCTCTGAGAAGGAAGGATACAACTTTGGCCAGGACTATGTCACTTGGGCGGAAACTCTTGTACACTTCTACCTGCACAGGAGAAAGCAGGAAAACCCACACAGAGCACCAGGGTGCTGTCAGTGGGGGGGAGGGGCCCTCAGCAGCAGAAAGTGAGGACAGCTGAGGTAAAGCAGTCACTGGCAGTGCCTCACTGACCTTATCCTTCTCTGTGGCTCGAATATCTTCTCTCCTGAAAAAGGAGATGGAGGGATATGAGAGCGAAAGAGCAAAGGCGACTCCAGCCTGTGGCAGAAGCTGTCCTGGACTCTCCCTGGGCACTTGCCATAAGTTGCTGGACACCTGCCCAGTGCTCGGGGCACAGCTCCTGCTGGAGTTGCCAGCTGCACTGCTTGGTGCAGCCCTCCTCCCCCGCAGATGGGGTGCTTGGGGAGATCCCAGCCCTATTCCTACCGTATGGTCCCCCGGAAGGTGGATTTCAGTGGTGTGGAGCCGACATACAGGATGTGCACCTTGGCAAAGCGAGAATTAATGCTGCAAACCTGCCCACAGGAAAAGGGGAATCAGTGTCAGCACAGTGCCACAGCTACAGGCAGGGAAAGGGCAGGGTGCAGGCAGGGCAGGGCTGCAGGGAGAGCTCAGGTCTCACTCAGTCTCCTCCTCCCTTTGCCCACAGCAGTGGTGGGGCAGGTGAGACACTTGGCAGTGAGCCGGGCAAGGAACATATTTGAGCAATTCAAGGCACTCAAATAAGGTTAGGACCTGCTGTGATCCCAGTCACTCTCCCTCCATCAGGAATGTAAGGAAACTAATTCCTGGTCTGTGCCACCCTTTTCTCCGAACTGCACCAAGCACTGACTTGCACCCTCCCAGAAAATGTTCAGGAAGGGAGAGAAAAACCTTCCCTCAGCCCACCTCAGCCTCAGGGCAGGTGTCCCCCATGCCCATATCCAGTTTCTTTGTGAGGGAGGGACCTAAGGGAGCCCCTGGGCTGTCTCTGCCCTGACGGG